GGGAAGTCGCGGGACACCCCGCTCTTGTTACGGTCATTTCGAGTCGGGTCGTAACACATATAATTTGTGTCTTTTGTACTATTAAATATAGGCATCCAGACAAAATGAGAACAAAGGTCATGGGCTTTAATGTGCAGATATCAAATGTTCTGATAGTTTTTTTTCTTTTGGCTCAGGAGGAGATGAAGGCCTGCATTAGGAAGTAACAAACTGCAAAGCATTCTGGTTGTTCTTCTGAGTGGCAGTAACCATCACAGGCCTGTTTTCATGGTTACAAACTAAAACGTTGTGCAGCTTAAAACACTTCACAGTGTTAAGTTCTTCCTCCCACAGTCTAGACATACATGATAGGTGATTTCAAATTAGATATAGGCGTGTAAGATTGCTAAGTTGTCTTTCTTAGCCCTGTGATGTACTGGAAACCTGTCGGATGTGCAGCCTGCCTTTCATACTATCCCAGCAGGGAGAAGCCCTCCTGCTTCCTGATCAGTGGTTAAGAGAATGTAAAGATCATTTTAGTGATACATATTTTAAAAGCTTAGTCAAAGCCTACAATCATACTTTTCCTTGTAGCACATGTAGCAAGACTAAAAGTGACCGCTGGTATGGTGTGTGGAAACATAAAGGTGTTTGTTGGTGGGAGTTTACCTGTATTGTGTTTAAACACACACACAGATCAGTAATGTCCCTCTGATGATCTGATGATCAAGATTAAACTGGTGCTGCCATCTACTGACATTCAATGGCAACAACAAGCCCTCTAACACTGAAAGATCATGAAAGCATCTGGTACTTTTAGATCATATAGTTAGTACAAACTAACTTTTAATGAAATACTTATATCCCTATTGTTAAAATGTGGTTTACATAATTATTATCACTGACCATAAATGTCATTTTCTGCACACTTTTTAATTGTGATGCTTTACGTAACGATGTAACAATGTAACAATGTAACGACCTCATCTGTGTCCCCCACACAAGGCGGAGACACTGATGGTTAGATAAATGTACATACATTTCTGACTCTAAGAGAATGAATAATTTATTTAATATTTCACTGCTAATTACTGGCCAATCACATTAGGTGGTCATATATAAGTAGCAGCTGCTGTCTGAGCATGTTGCGGTCATCGGTGACCTGACTTCTCTAGCTGTTACATAAGCCTCCCCTCTGTCCATAAGGTTGTAGCTGCAGAAGCCTCCTCTTGCTGCTTGTCTGAGCTACAAAAAGTGTTGCTGCTTTTTTCTTTCTTCTTCGATGGAGGAAGCATCTCGACAAGTCTAATCTGTAAGCAGTAAATCTCTTTGTTTTAAATGTTGAACGTTTACAGTTTGCTAATAAGTGATGTAGACACGAACAAGATGTCAGGCTCCCAGCTGCTTTCTATAAAGATGGCTCCCTCATCGGGAAGGAGCCTACAGGTCACATGACCATCCAGCATGTTTCCAGGTCTGATGAAGGCCTCTACAAGTGTGACATCAGCGGTCATGGAGAGTCTCCATCCAGCTGGATCACTGTCACAGGTGACACACTCACCTGTCTGTGTTTCTGCAGCTTTCAACATTCACAATGTGACTTTTAGCTGATGTTCTTTATTTAAGGGAGACCTACACCCACACCGCCACCTTCATCCACTTATACATTAACCTCTCCTGCTGCTTCATCCCCTCTACTCCCTGTGTTGCTGACTACTGGAGCCGCCTGTGTTGTAATTCTAGTGGTGTTACTGTTTCTTTTGATGTAACATGAACATGTTCACAGAAGGCTTGAAGGTGAGACTCAGACTTTCTTTGTCTTTCAGGGTTTTTTCACAGTAAATTCATATTAATGTGCAAAGGTCATTTTCCCCTGTGCGATGTGCATGTAAGGCCTCAAGAAAAAATGTCTGAAACTTAATTTACCCCAGGAACTAATCAGCTTTCCATTATGTGTCATGTAAATAGTGAAGAAAAAAGGAGGAGCATAAACAATCTGTATGATTTTTTGTGTCTTGTTCAGTGTAACATAAGCAGCATCTGAACTGGCTGCACTGATGGCCTTTCTGTGTGTTTCCTTGTGCAGGGTGTGATTCAGCTGCAGTCAACTCAGCAGTGCAGAGAGAAGACGTCTATTATGCAGAAATCTTAATTTAAGAGAAGCATAAGTAATCAAAGACAAGAGGTACAGGTGCTCTTCTTTCACAACAAGTCCAGGTGTTGCTAACATTTCAGTTTAGGCCAAAAGGAAAATGTTAGAAAACAATTAATTTCTCATAAGCGAAGCTTGCAGATGTAACGGGGAATTTTTGTAGAGGTCCACAATTTGTAATAAAAGGTAAGAAAGTGTGTGTTGGTTCGTGTCAGCAGTTTGCTCATAGTAGCAGTGTTTATCAGAATAAAAGAATGAGCATTAATTATCAATTTCAGTTAAAAATCTTTTGATGGCTTTAACTTTATCTAGACTACACATAATTATTCCTATATACGTGCAATAAGATAAGAAGCTGAGACCAGAATCTTAGATTTATGGTCATATTGCGCAGTTAAAGCAG